GATCCCAGGCAATCTTTCCTCTTTGTCATAGAAAGGATAGGTGCTTTTTTAATATAACTGGCTTAAATTTAGCCTCCATAGCTTGATCGCTCAGTTGAGTAATAGGGTAACTTTCCTGCATTCTACTACTGCCTCTCCTTCTGGGAAGTTGGCACTGGAATTTGGGAGTGTTTTGGTTTCCAGATTGTTCACAGACTTGTAATATGACCGTAAATAAATAATGTAAGTACTTGTTGCTTCATTTTTATTTTTATTACCGCCTAGTCCATAAAACGTGCCTGGTATTGAGAGACTGTGGAAATCTTTATGTGAGAATCTCAATGTGCCCAGGAAACAGATCCTGAGGCAGTGTTCTGCCTCAGACATGGGTATCTTGGGGATTGTATCACACAGAAAACAGAGTAATGCTGACTTAGGTGTAGATTGCCTCCATTTTCTTGGACAGGAGACTGCCTTGGACCAGGGTCTTCTGCCTGTCTTCTAAAACCCCTGATGGTTTCCCTGTCCTTCCCTTTCCCCAAGAGCTTGTGTACTGGCCTCCTCCATTCACACAGACTTCGTCAGCCCTGTCTTGCAGCATGTCACCCCACAGTGTAGCCACAGAAGTAGAAGCACTTTCTTTTGTTTTGGACGTGCTGCTTGGTTTCATTTTGTGCTGGTGCAAGAGGCCAGGCGCTAAACATTTCCTGTTGGCTTTGTTTTTGTAGCTCTGTCAATTTGCACTTCAGCTTCTGTCTCTAACAATTTTTTCTTGTATGAAATCCATTCCGTATCTCCAATCATCCTACCTATCCCTGTCAGTACCTTCTCTGGATCTGCTCTATCCTTTTTCCTTTCTTTTTTTTTTAATGAGAGTAGACAAGCAACACGCAGTGTCCTGGTGTGAATGCACCATGCACACAGTGGTACGTCCCATTTTTGCAGGCTGATTCTTTGCTTAAACAAACTGATTGTGGACATTGCAATAGCAATGCAGCACGTTGTACACACTCTCCAGCAGCTTAGAGTTAATTGCTGCTAGCAAGTGCTGTGAACTTGCAGGCTGGGTTCCTCTTGGCAGGAGTTGAAAGTGAATTGTGGTGTTACAAAGAACGTTCAAGCCCCGTGTTTAAAAGGCATCCTGCCACTTACATGGGTGAGTGTATTGCAGACACTGCCTTCAGCCCTCATCTTTCAGGCCTTCCTGCCAGAGAAGGGTTAAGTCTGAAATGGAAAACATGCTGCAGAGGACTGGTGTGATTCAGCACGTGGTTGTAGTCTGATTCTAAAGCTGAGTTCTCAGCATGGTATTTAGAGAACTGTGGCTCAGTGGCTGCCTGCAGTCACTGTTTCAGGTTGAGATGTTGAATCCTCGATGGATATCAAAGATCTCTGGCACTTGGGGCATTAACCATGGAAACCATAGGAGTAAGACTGGGGGTGACTGCAGCTGGGTTGCTTCCATGCTCTGTTTGCCTTTCAGTGGTGTAAAACACTCGGTTCCTCTCCTAAATGCACTCTTCAATATCAAGCAAGTTTAACCCAAATTAGCTTGGATTGCTTATAAGCTGAGTTTGCCAGCATGGGCAGTGAGCATGGATCACAGCAGTGTGGTGGATGTCAGAGCAGGGGGAAATTGCAGACCTAGCTGTGCTTTTCTCCGTGAAAGGTTATAGTGTCAACATGGATCAAGTTATGGCCAAGTATTGATGCTGTGTTAATATCCAACAAATCATTATTAGTGTCCTTGCAGTTGATTTTTGTTTTATAGCACAAACGGGTGTTTGTAGGGAAAACTCTTTGTTTCATAATATTTTTAAAGGGGGTGTGAGTGTATGCAAGCATCCCTGGCCAGCCCCTGGCTTTGGGTGGTGAGGAGAATTCCAGGAACTCCAGGAAACTGATGTCACTGCATTGTGTTTGCTTGTTTTCTTTTGACTGCACTAATGTTTAATTTTAACTTAACCCTCAGAGGGGTATTTTTAGTAAAACTGTTTCTTCACTCCTTCTGTCCCATGTTGGGAGGGGAACAGATTGTGTCTCCTTGGTTTTTTCCAGTAGTCAGCTCTTTGTGCCTCCCCTCTGAAGAGCTGTGATGATTGACTGAGAGCCTGAGCACTCAGCAGATGTGTTACCCTGTCTGTGCTTGGAGTGCCTGAACGCTGGTGTTTGTTCTGTCCCCACATCTCTTGATTTGATCATTGATCCAGGCTGAAAGGAAGCAGATCTACCTGGACAAAAGGGCTTCATTCTGATAAAAGATTAGTATCTCTTCCAAATCTTTGGTATCACCTGTGGCTGTCCCAGGGGGCAGCTGCTTTAGGGGATGATCATGATCCTGTTCTTCAGTGAATATCTGCTGAGAGAGCCTGGCATTTCTACAACTTATTAACACTTTAGTTTGGAGGGGCTTTGTCAACACTCCAGAGAATCACAGCCCTGCAGGAATGGGTTTCTCCCTTTGGGTTTTTTCTTTGTTTGTTTGGTTTTTTTTAAGCAAGAGATCATACTTAAAATTCAGACGCTAGAGCTGGAGAGGCAAAAACTGAGCTGCTTGCTCTGCTGATCTTGAATAAAGGAATAAATTCCTTTATCTATTTTTATGTATGCATTTATTTAAAAGGAAGAGAAAAGGCAAGAAATATGGCTCTGCAAAGCATGGATTTATTGGAGAACTTTTCTCTGTTCCATATCTTTGTCCTATGTTTTGGCTGCTGTCTCTGTGGTTTGCTGTTTGTGTATTTCTGCAGACAAATAACAAAATCAGAAAACTGTTTCATCCCATTCCACTTCTAGCCCGTGTGTTACAATAATTGCTCGGGTGCCAAACACAAAAAGAATCACTGTGTTTTTAGTTTGTCATTGTTTCATGTATGAAAATGGCTTTCAGTTGTAATTATCTGCACATTATAAGAAGTGTGTATGTGAAGAAGCTATGGAAAAATGACAGCAGAATAATTAAATTCACACCAGCTCCTCATGCGAATACTAAGACATCAAGAGTGTCTTCTGTGGTTTAGTATTACCCACTTCCAAAGCTTGGAGTAGGAAATTTTCATTCATTTTCCTACACAAATAGGTCTCTGCTCTTTGAAAGGCTGGCCAAGAAATACCTTTATCTTGGGCAAAGAGAGATCTATAAGTATGGGCTCACCAACATTTTATACCTTGCACTGCCTGAAGGCTTTACCTTCTGCTGTGCTTCTGAGCAACTTCACCCATGAATGCCCAGGACTATTGGTGGGCACTGCAAGGGTTTCCAGGTGCTGTACAAGGCTGGTATATGGGACAGGAGTGAGCTTGGGTTTCCTGTTGCAAGGGTTTGTTGTTGCTGGATATTTCTGCTGCCTTTTCTCTGCCCCCAGCTCCCCCTATTCCGTAATTCACTTTTAAAAGAAACCAGTCTGGGTTGTGCTGAGCTCAGCACTGCAGCCATTTGCAGAGACACCACAAGGAGTAGCAGCACTTCTCAGTTTACAGGCTGGACTGTGGTAGGAAATGGTAATTTCTTACACTGACAAATTGCTTCTGCACCCAAGGTATTGCCCACTGAGCAAACAAGGGTTGTCTCACTGCTTCCTCTCCATCCCTGTGTGTATGTGGGGGAAGCTGTCCAACCTTTTGAGGAAGGGACCATGTTCAGGGTTTTTTCATACAGCATTTGGTGCAGTGCTGTGATGAGTGTCAGCATTTGTTTGTGTCAGTTATTGAGCATTTCACCAGTAAGAGGATTGTTTATGCCAGTTTTACTGAATTCTAGTTCCAGCTGTGAGCTTCAATTTGCATCCTTTCATACAATTTGAACTGCTTGTTTTGCTATGTAAATCTTCTGTGTATTGGTTTGCTTTCTTGTTTACTGTTTCTCTGCTCCTAGAAGACATTTGTAATCCTGGGATTTGGCTGTGCATCCTGCTGTTCTGGCACTGAATCCCTCAATTCTGGACAGCACAGGACAGGGAGAGACAGAAAAAGGAACTTCAGCTTCCCAGACTCATCCCTCTCCTCCCATCCTTCCAGGCCAGGTTGGATGGGGCTTGGAAAAACCTGGTCCAGTGGAAGGTGTGCCTGCCCATGGCATGGATTGGAAGAGACCTTAAAGATCACCATGGAACAAGGTGATCTTTAAGGTCTCTTCCAATCCAAACCATTCTTTGATTCTTCCAACCCTAAAAATCAAGGAGGTGTGATCCCTAGACAAGCCTTTCTAATTAGTTCTCATCTTGTAGCACTCATTTCTGTGTGCCTGAGTGATGTTGCAAATTATAGCCTCCTTTTATGTGTTTGTAGCATTTTATCACCTTTCATAGCCTGTGGTGCTCAGTCGCCGTTCCTGTAATGCCATCTTGTGGTGGCCCTGCCACTCTGAACGTGCCTTTTCCAGCCAGAACTGATGCTGGGCTACCTCTCTGTGTAGGCAGTGAGTGCAGCTCTCCTTTGCTGGCTGCATGAGTGTGGGGTGAATCGAGGAAACGCCTGTCTGCAGCTGTTTGGTGTCAGGGAATGGCCTTGTGGAGCTCAGATGTGGTGTTAGAGACCTTCATGGCAGATCCCTGCTCTGAGTGCTTTAGCTCTGATGCTGTAGAGCTCTCTATTAGAAGGATTGATTAACTGTGATCTGTGTTACAAGGAGATTGTTGTGTCGTTCTTTAACAAGTCATAATAACAAACTATCCATTTACTTAAATGTCCATCCCTCATACACTGTATGTTGTTTGAAGTTTGAAGTGCTTCTCTAAACACAAAGGAGTTGTTTAATACTTTGAAACGCTGCTCTGTTGTGATTGCAGGAAGTGTATATGGCAGGGAGTGTCAGGATTTTGTAGAAATTCCAATTTTATCTCTGGTGGATTTTTTTCTCAATCTGTCTGGGCTTTGGATAAGCCGCAGGGGCAGAAGTAAGGCCATTGCATCTGCTTCTGCATGACCAGAGAGCTTTACTGTACCTTCGAGAGTAAGAACTGCTTGCCTTTAATAAATGAAATAACAACTGTATTTATTTTTGGTTTTTTTTGCCTCTCCAGTGTTCCCAACTCTTGCCCAGCCAGTCCACGTGGTGCTGGATCCTCAGGATATCGTTTTGTTCACAACATTACCTCGGATCTGCAGCTGGCAGCAGAGTATGCGGCAAAGGCAGCATCAGAGCAGCAGGCAGATGCATCTGGAGGGGACAGCCCAAAGGTTCACACAAACATTGCTTACCCAGCAGTGCTCCTTGGGAGGATTAGTAAAGCCTGGGGCTTTATTGCTAGTCCTGGTTAGAGTTAAAAGGGGTTTAAGAACACCCTGGCCATAAGGGTGCTGTGTACAGTGGCCTGCAGGGGGTGGAGGTCATTCCTTCAAACTGTGCTTGGCTTAGTGGTAGACTCTGCTTGCTTAGCTGCCCACAATGTATTCAAATCACTCACTAAAGCGTTCAAGCAAGAATAATATTTTTGTTTATTTGATAAATCGAGATCGTATAAAAAGCAGGCACATAAAATGCAGCATCTAATTTTCTTCCTTTAATTAATGGTATTTTGCAAAACACAGTTGGAGAAAGCAGAAGCAGGGGGAGAAACCAGATCCTTGTCATGAGAAGTCTGTAGTCAGACTTTAAAACAAACATGAAGGCCTGTCAAGTAGGCGTTAAACGAGGAGAGTGGCAAGTGGAATTTAGATTAAAAAATAACTGAGTTAGAATGATAAAATGTAATTTTGGTGAGCTGATCTTCAGATCAAAGCTAAAAGTTCCATATCCAAAACCACCTGATTTGGGATTGGGTGGAGGAGCACACTACTAGATGGCTTTTTTTGGTAAACTTAATTCTCCCCTGAGACAAGAAGGGTTGTTCTTGATGGAGTAATGTGAAGAGTTGGAAATACGAGATCTAGCAAACAAATTAAAGTTCCTAGAATGAAACAAATCCTGCTGGAGAAGGGAAGGGATGGGATCAGGTTTCATGTTGGGCTTGTTGCTGGGAGGAGGGCTGATAACATACAGCCTCAAACCTTCCTAGCAGAGTGGAGCTGTAGCTGGGCAGAACTGAAGGCTTTAATTCATGAACAAAGAAAGCAGTTAATGTACCTGTACTCTATTTTTTGATTACAGTTGCCTGTCTTGATCCCTTTCCTTGTGCTGGTGCAAGCATGTGTGGGAAATTCAGTGGGGAATGGAATCAGATTGAAGTTGGGGTTTATGTGTGTTTGTGGGGAGATGGAAGGAGATACTTTCATCTGACTCAGCCCTGTAGCTCTGTTTGAAATGCTTGTGCTAAATGGGGTGGTGGCAGCATAAAACAGCAATGGGAGAGCTGATGCTCTCTTAGCTGCCCTGCTGCTCTTGGCATCAGTGAAAATTACAGCCCAATGTGCTTTTTAAGTTTGGGTTGTGGTACACTGCAGCATAGGAATTCTTTGTTAGTGACTAAATTTTTGTTTTTTTTTTTTTTCTTGCTTAGGATGAATCCAAGCCACCCTATTCTTATGCTCAGCTAATTGTGCAGGCTATATCTTCAGCACAGGACAGGCAATTAACACTAAGTGGGATCTATGCCCACATTACCAAGCATTATCCATATTACAGGACTGCTGACAAAGGCTGGCAGGTGAGTTCTTGACACTGACAAGCTTTTAAACTACTTTGACATGGCTTATCTGCTTTGAAATGCATTTATTAAAGATTTGGGGCACTGGGAATAGAGCTGCTTTGACTGTTCCCAGAGTGAATTTGTTTAACACAAGCTGACTAGTTCATTTGTGGGTGATTAGTTTTGTTGGGGTTTTTTTGAATACTTTGTAGGGCAATGTAGTGTGTAACTGTTGGGCTCTCTAGTTCCTCTTTTAATGCTGCAGTCATGTGTCTTTCATTTTGTATTTTATTTCCCTACATCCTTGCTATCAGTCACTCCTCTGCCCAGATACTTGCTGAATCCTTCACCTCATCTTTGGCATGATTTCTCCAAGCAGAGGAAATCCAGCCTAAAACTGAGGCTCTAGTTTTTAATCATAGCAATTTAAATCATTACAGATGTTTTGTTTTCCCAGTGTATCAACTGCATTGCCTAAGTCACAGTTTGCAAGTTCTGAATTTGAGTGGGAAACTGGGAGTCCAAGCACTCCTTGTGGTACTCAAGGAAATCTGACCAGCTTCAGAGGAGAGTTTGGATGTAGTTAACACATGCTAAATCAAATTTCAATGCTCACTTGAGGGCTGCTTCCAAAGTTTCAAGAACCTCAACTCCACCTGCTTTCAGACTTTTTCTTGGCATCACACCTCTGCCATGGGTGTTGGCATTTGAATGTAATACACTAATACAGCTGCAAAGGCTCTTGCAGCTGCTGATTTCACTGTGTGCAACTGGCAGGAGCAGTACTGCTTGGTGCACTTTGAGTGCAGTTGGAATAAATACATTTCTGCCTCCCTGGCTTTTCCCTGCAGTTCTAATTAATTGTGGAATTCACTTCCTGCCCTAACCTGCTCAGCAGAGTTGTGCTTTGTGAACCAGTTGCTGCATCCTGCTTCAGAGAGCTGCATTTCAGCAGGGAGTGAAGTTGCCTTTTTCCCTCCCCTCCAGTGGCATTGTAAGGCTTCCCCAGTGAAGAGATTGTCTAAACCTGCTAGGACAGCTTTTATTTTGTTCTGAAAGTGGAAGAGGGATTAGTTTGTGCACATGGAGGCTTGCTGAGCCCTTCCCCAGCCCAAAAGGCAGCCCTACACCCTGTAAGAGGTGGGCTGTTAAAATGGAAGGGATAAACAGTCTTGTCATCATCCAGAGAGCTGCAGAGTGCCACAGAGCTCATGGATTCCTCCCAGAGCTGGCTGAGGGCATGTTGGCTGCCTTGCACTGTGATTACTGTGAGATGCAGTGTCCTCTAGGGCATGTTTGGGCACCCTGGTAATCGTTTGGCAGGTGAGCAGTTAGCACAGGCTCAGGCAACTTTTCCCACTTGCCAAGAATAAAGCCTGTCTTTTGAGAGAGTTCTGATGTGGTTTACAGTGATTTCCCCCTGCCTCAGCAAAAGCTCTGCTTTCATGGCTTTCCACAGAGAAGTCCCTGCTCTGGCTCCAGATGTATTTGAGTAATGGTTGGTACCAGGCAGACTCATCTTTCAGCTTGGTCAGGAGAAATGCTGACACTTTCCCCCAGGTTTTCTCCTGCTGTTCTCCTGTGACTTTGGAGCTGTGTGAGTTGAGTGACTTGTTTCTACCTTCAACACTGATTCTGGCAGCGTGGATTTATTTTTCCAAGCTGTGTGGTGCAACCCATTTGTCTTTGTTACATACTTCTTCGTGGCAAAATAATCACCTCATTCCTCTGCTTCCTGCAGAATTCCATTCGGCACAACCTCTCCTTGAACCGTTATTTTATTAAAGTCCCACGCTCCCAAGAGGAGCCTGGAAAGGGCTCATTTTGGAGGATTGACCCTGCCTCTGAAGCCAAACTTGTAGAACAAGCATTTAGAAAAAGAAGGCAAAGAGGAGTGTCCTGCTTCCGAACACCTTTTGGGCCTCTCTCCTCCAGGTAACTTCAGTTTCCTCTCATCTCTCTGCCAAACTCATTACAAAGAAAACAAACTAAAACTTCTCCTGAAGTACAGTGAGTATGCTTTGCTTCTGTTTATAGTTTAAGAGGTGATATAGTTAGTCCTGAGGCATAATCTGAAAATTGTTCTGACTTCTTAAGTGTTTAACAAAAAAAATCCAGAAGCAAACTACAGAAATGCATCAAATAACGTATCTGCTTTGGCATCATTTCAAAGAAATTCAAAGCAGTTATCACTGGAGTGAGTGTTTTCAGATGCCAATCTCTGATTTCAGGAAAGCTGTGTTTAGATGTGGATTAGATCATAGTGGGAATAACTTCTGTGGTATTTAAAACACTCTCCTATAGGGAGATCAGGTTGATGGTGGTTGTCAGCAGTGGTGCAACGGGAGTTCTGTGTGGCTGCTCCAGTCAACTCCACTGCCTTGTGCAGTGACAGCTTCTTTGAGCTCTGTAGCTGTGAGGAGAAGACTTGGAATTCAGCACTAGCTGGAGCAGTTTCTTGGAACATTCCTCCCACACCTCCTATTTTCTCTGTTAAAATATGGGGGAAACAGGAGGAGAATTTTTCAGCTTTTTATTCTGGTTTGTCATTAAAGAGATGTACAATTCCTCACGTGTTGGGGAACAGAGGTGGGAACCAAGTGGTTGGGGAGGGAGGCAACAGGGAGAAGGGGAAGCATCTGCTCTGCAAGCATATGCAGGGCCAGACACTTGCCTCTGCTTGCATCTTTCTTCTTCTCCCTGTCACTCTCAAACTCTGACATTGAGAATGGTTTGAAGTTATAAAACTGACCTGAGTGTGCAGCATTTGGGGGTTCTCTGTCAGCAGTGGGTCTACAATGAAATGTTAACCCTGCTCCTTCAGCAAGGAAGGAATATTGGGAGCTGCAGTGTTTGTGGGGTGCCTGTGTACCTTTCAGCTCTTCCCAGCAGGCCTGCAGTGGGTGCTGTGGTCTGTCCTTCCTAGAGAATCCTCTGCTGGACAGAACTCTGGGTCTCTGCTGCTGTCTTGTGGTCAGAATGCATCTGCACTTGCCAACGCTGTGTTTTGGTGTTTCAGGAGTGCTCCTGCCTCCCCTACTCACCCTGGCCTGCTGTCCCCTCACTCTAGTGGCCTACAGACTCCAGAGTGCCTGTCACGGGAGGGCTCACCCATTCCACACGATCACGACTTTGGGTCAAAGTTAGCCTCAGTTCCAGAGTATCGGTATTCCCAGAGTGCACCTGGTGAGTAGCTCTTGTTCCAGAGGCTGGCTGTTCACTTGGCCCACATGCCATGCTGAGGACACCACAGGAAGGCTTCTGCAGTGGGTTTTTTTTGGAGCATCCAGGACTCTCTTTCCACTTTGTTGTTAGAGGCTGATGGTGCAAGTATGACTTCAAACTATTAACTATTTTTCTGACTCTTTAGATGAGATGCAGAATGTTTAGAGACAGCTGATCTAACCTTGAGCTAGGTGGCTGTAAAGATCTGACAGCAAAGTAGCCATGGCAACACACAGCTCACTTGCTCTCATTTACCAGCCTCTGGATAAGATCAGCTTGGCCACACCAAGCTCTGGTGCTGTGGCCAGGACCTGGTAAATATCTGCTTGTCAGCTGTGCTGACCTGGGGTGTAGGGTAGGGTTGGAAGGCAAAGCTCATTAAGGAAAGCTTGGTTTGGGGTATTTTCTTATGTTTATTATGGCTTTTATTCACAGAAATGTGCTCAGATGACAAGTAGGGTTTTTGTACATTAGGAAGGAGAAGTTTGAGGGTGGTATTTTTGAAGGCTTGATTTTTTTTGTTGTTCATTTCTACCTCCATTCCTGCTAATGCTGAAGCACTGAGTAGACTGGAAATGCACAGATTAAATAAATGTGAGTATTTTGCCTCTCCTGTTAACATGTGCTTCTCTTTTCTGTTCAGGATCTCCAGTGAGTGCCCAGCCAGTGATTATGGCTGTTCCTCCCCGACCATCCACCCTGGTGGCCAAACCAGTGGCCTACATGCCAGCATCCATAGTGACTTCTCAGCAGCCTTCGTGCCACGCAATCCACGTCGTTCAACAAGCCCCCACTGTCACCATGGTCCGAGTGGTGACCTCCTCTGCAAACTCTGCAAATGGATACATCCTCACAAACCAGGGCACAGCAGGAGGAGCTCATGAAGCTGCAGGAGCAGTGTTGGACTTAGCTGCTGACCACCGAGGTAGCGTTCACCTCCTCTGCTACTCTGCTAATTAGTCTTGAACATTTTCACTCACTGGGGAGCCATTAAAAAAAAAATGTTTCTTCAGGTAAAACTTAAACCAAATGAGAGCTCATCCTTTTTTTATCTGCACCAGAGAGCAGGACAACTGTGTTCCCTTGTCTCCTGGGGAACAAAACTAACAGACTTCGGAGCCTGAGAAAACATGCAGTGCTTAAAATTTGCTTATTACCATAGAATCACAGAATGATCTGGATTGGAGGGTACCTTGAAGATCATCTCCTTCCAATCCCCCTTCCATAGGCAGGGACACCTTTCACTATCCCAATTCCAATCCCCCTTTCATGGGCAGGAGTATCCCAGGGTTCTCCAAGTCCTGTACAACCTGGCCTTGGACACTTCAGGGATGGAGCAGTCACAGCTGCTCTGGGCAGCCTGTGCCAGGGCTTCCCCACCCTCATAGGGATGAAATTCTTCCTAATATCTCATCTGTACCTGGTCTTTCAGTTTGAAGCCATTCTCCTTTGTCCTATCTATCCATGCTTTTGCAATTATCCCCAATACCAATATTATGCCTGTGTATTGGCTATGAAAGCATGTGCATTTTCCAGCCAAAAGGGAGAGCCTGGGAAAGGCTGCAACTCTGCTTCAGGATGGCTTTGTAAATAAATGATTGAGCCCTTCTTTTCTGCAGGCCTGGATTCCTAGAGGAAAGCATGTGCTTCTGGAAGTTCAGGCAGTGCCCCATTAAAGCAATCTTCAAAAACCAGTTAGAACAAAGCCCTTTTTCTGTCCCTAAGCTGGAAATTCCAGCCTTGGGGGATTTAGTGAGTTAAATATTCTCTTGCTGTGATCTAGACAACACCTTGTCTGCTCCCCATTTCAGAAGGTCTTAGTGCTACAAGGTCAGTGTATGTTGTAGCAGCAGCAAGGCTGGTTTCTCTGTCTGCTTTTATGTGGGCAGTGGGACAATGGTCCCTCTAAGGGAAGGAAAAAATTACAAAGTGCTTTCCTTCTTGCAGCAGCAGGACCCCTGGCATTTTTAGTTCAGCACTGGTTATCTTGCTTGAGTTTCACTTGCATTCTCTGGAAATTCCTGTCTGGATCCCATACATGTTCCTGAAGCACTAGCAGTTGCAGCTGCCTGTCACCTGCTCCCTTCTTTCATTCACTGGTTCTTGCTGTTGCCTGTTCTTTCCCTACTTGTCTCACTCATATCCTTTTCTAGTCTCTACTTTCCCTGTTTGCTGCATTTTTCCTTCCTGAACTCCTTGCTTTCCTTGCCTTTTCTCTCCTCATTCCCATCAGCTTGCCTGCAGGTTTCACCTCAGTGCTTAACGTCCCATCTAACTCCTCTCTTGTTGTGTGCAAATGTTAAAATGGGAGAGGCCTTCTTTTCCTACAGGACTAATGAGGTTGTGCTTCCTGCCCTCTCTCCTTTGAGACCCACAGAGCCCCTGGAAGAATGGTTCCTCTGCTCTCCTGCATGCCTGGCAGGATGCTGTCCTGTATCTGTGGCATACCTGCTGAACTGACCCCTTGCTTATCCTGGGAAGTGAGAAAAGTGGTTTAGTGCTCTCAAGCAGTTACCTCTGTCCAGAAACTCTGCTCTCCTTTTTTATCTTTTCTCCATCCTGTTTTTTTCCTGTACTTTCACAGCAAAAGCTGGCAATTATGGGATGACCTCCTTGTAAATCAGCCTCCATGCAGGCCTGACAGCAAGCTGCTGCAGACTTTTGGCTCCAGGCATTGTTTAAGATCTTAATGCCTTCTCCTGCTGTGTGGTATTGAAAGTCAAGCCAGTTTGTTTGAAATTGCAAAGTAAGCTATGAGATTTGCAGTGCTTGCTGTCCATATCACAGCTGTGATGTGCCAATAAGGGAGGTGATGCCTTTTTAGGGCAAAGGGTCAAATTGATGGGTTTGATTTTTTTCAATTTTTCTCATGGCTTGTACTGTAAGAAGAATGTTCCTAATATTGATAGAGTAAACGTGCAATAGAGAATATTTTAATGTTTCCACATACTCATCCCTGACCTTTTGTGGTGCTGAGGTACTGTAATCCTGGGGTGTGTATCCCTGCTAAAGTGTTAATGAGAACAAAACGTGCCTCTGAGCCAGGGCAGTGACTGATCCTTGTCTCTTCTGCTCTTCACAGGCATGGACGAGAAGCCAACGATCGCCTTTGCCACGATCCCCACGGCCAGCCGTGTCATCCAGACAGTGGCCAGCCAGATGGCCCAGGGTGTCCCTGGGCAGACTGTCACCATCCTGCAGCAGGCAGCTCCAGTGGCCCTGGGGCAGCACCAGCTCCCGGTGCGGGCGGTCACCCAGAACGGCAAACACGCCGTGCCCACCAACAGCATCGCCGGCAGCGCCTACGGTGGGTCTGCTCCAGCTGCCCTGCTCCCCCAGCCCAGCAGCCAGGCTGGAGTGGGTCTGCTCCAGCTGCCCTGCTCCCCCAGCCCAGCAGCCAGGCTGCAGTGGGTCTGCTCCAGCTGCCCTGCTCCCCCAGCCCAGCAGCCAGGCTGCAGTGGGTTTGCTCCCCCAGTTTAGCAGCCAAGCTGTAGTGGGGTCTGCTCCCCCAGTTTAGCAGCCAGGCTATAGTGGGGTCTGCTCCCAGCTGCCCTGCTCCCCCAGCTCAGCAGCCAGGCTGTAGTGGGTTTGCTCCCCCAGCCCAGCAGCCAGGCTGTGGTGGGGTCTGCTCCAGCTGCCCTGCTCCCCCAGTTTAGCAACCAGTCTGTAGTGGGTTTGCTCCCCCAGCCCAGCAGCCAGGCTGTGGTGGGTCTGCTCCCCAGCTCCTGGCTGCCACTGCTCCCCCAGCTTAGCAGCCAGGGTGTAAAGCTGCAAGTGTTTTCTCCTCTTGCTTTCTGTGTATCAAGTTATTCTGTGTGTCCAGCTCAAAGATATTGCAATTCTTCCACTTCTAGGTCTGTAAATGAGTGGGAGGTTCTCTTCTGTCCACCTCTGCTGCCTTTCCTGGGGGAACAGCCCTGCTCTCTGGCAGAAAAGCCCTGTCCTTTCTTTGCCCTTGGCTATGCAGTTATTAGTACTGAGACTCTCTACCTCTTGAGGTTACTTGTTGAAAGTGTTAGTGATTCTTGTGGAGAGCCTGTTTTCATTTATTTTCTTCTGATCAACAGCCTTTGCTTGCAGCATGCCAAATAATAAAATTTCCATGGTGTTCTTTAGATCTTGTGAAACATGACTCAGTAGAGTAAAAAGAAAATAACATACTTTCCCATCTTACAATCTTAGAGCCTGAGAGAAACAAGATCTATTTCACCAGGTGAACAAATGTAGGATTTTTGTATACACAGGATGTGTTCTAGTCATTTGTCAAGCATGGTTTTTTGAAATTCCATACAAGCCATGTCTTGGCAGCCTCCTCTTGCTTGCTCAGCACTTCAGATTTTGTTCAGTTGGGGATGGGAATATCCATGTTTCTTATGGCTTTTTTCTCTGAGAGGCCAAGCACTTCTGCTGCCTCAGGCTGGTGCTTTTGGGAGTTTGAAATGAAGGGCACTGCTGGAATTTGGATGCCTTTCATGAAGATAGGAATGTTTCTACAGAATTTTCTGCCACATCTCTTCACAGTTGTCAATTAAAAGAATCTCACTGGAATTATGAAAAAAATGATAGTGATAAGGTTTTTGTGCAATTATTATAAGATATTAATAGATCAGATAGGTCTATCTTCTACTAACCAGCAGTAGCATTTGTCTAATACAGAATCAGACAGTTTTTTATTTGACATTTTTATGTTAAAATATTTTCATCTCACTAAACTTTTTAACTCTCATCAAAGTGGGAAGTATTCCAGTTACATCTGAGTTTTTTTGTAAGTGGCAGTAAATTTTCTGGTTCACAAAACAAAGCCTGAGTCTCTTGACTCTCATCTGTACTAAGTTAACTTCTCTTCAATTGCATGATTTAGGTTCTCTAAGTCACTAAGCTGTAATTGCTGACTGCCCTCATCTTTACCCTATTTTTTTCCCTTCATCCTCTTGATACCCTACATCTTTCTTCTCATGCCTTGGTAGAAGTTACTGGACTTTGAGGGCCTTTGTTCTGTTGGCTTTGTTTATTTATCCTAGGGCTCCTTTTTCATGCATTTAGCAGTGAACACAGCACTGATGTTCAGTCATTCCATCCTTTGCAAATGAGTCTGGAGGGCAGAGGATGTGCTGTTTCCTGAGTCCCCTTTGGCTTCCTCTCTGATTGATGCAGAGTCCAAAAACTGCATGTGTTTTGTTTTCCAAGCAGTGGTGTGTGCCAAAGTCAGTGTGTAAGCACATTCTCTGTCTGGAACTAGGAATTGTAGACATTTTTACAGAGGGTTGCTACTTAAATCATCTTTTTTCATACCACTTTTATTAATGGGAGGGTGAGACCTTGTGTCAATAATGCAATACAAGATTGGAAGCCAGAAATTCCTTTGTTTTGCTCCCAGTTCTGATGGGAACACATGTGGTTGTCTAGGGTAAGCTTTTTCCTGCCTCTTTTACAAGTGGGATGTCATTACACTCAATATTTGGATTCTATTTCCCAACAGCCTGGTTTGTTCTTCCTGTGTGAGCAGGGCTCAAAAAGAGCCTCTAAAACTCCAAATAAAAAACCCAGCACATGGATCTTGGAGTTCATGAGAAATTCTCTGGCCACCTACAATCAGCAGTACCTCTCAAAGAGATGTGCTGTAATTTTAACTAGAGCTTGATCCTCCCCTGCTGGGAGCAAATACTTAGCTAGCAATGCCTTGTTTGACAGTGCATGGGAGGAAGGAAGTTCTCCTGTGAGAGGGATTGTTGCTGGTTTGGTAAACTTGAAAAGCTGAGGTTGTGGAGGGAGAGGGAAGGACAAGGCAAGCCAGGCTTTCAAAATGCACTGGGAAGCAACACTTGACCGTGTGCCAGCTGTCGCGTTTAACGGTGGGATTTGCTTTTCTTGCTTTGCTTGGAATAGCAAACACTTGTTCTGCTTCACCCCACTAATTCTGCTTCTCTTTCTTATCTTCCTTCGCAGCTCTTACAAACCCACTGCAGCTCCTTGCAGCCCAGGCCAGCTCGTCCACTCCTGTTGTAGTCAGCCGGGTCTGCGAGCCGGGGACCGAAGAGACGGCGGCAGCTCCCTCCAGTGAGCCTGAAGTGAAGAGAGCACGGATAGAGGAGCCCAGTGGAGCAGTGCCAGCCCAGGCTGGAGTCATCACGTCCACAGTGCCACAGGGACAGGCAACCAGTGAATGAAGAAGCGGTGGGAGGAGCTGGAGCGATGGCGGGGTGGGCATGGGATGGCAGGAGCCCTAAAGCAGCTTTCACAGGAAACCAACCACAACTGTAACAGCTCAAAACACAGCTGATAGAGAGCTCTTTTTAAAGGCAGATTTTTCAATGGGAGGACAACAGCTGTTGTAATCACAAGGTGCCAAAAAGAATGGATAATCCCTCCCAAGAACCCATATCTGGAACTCTGTTCTGTCTCTACTTATGGGATATTTTTTTCCTTTTTTTTCCTTTATTTTTTTTTAAGATTCAAAAAAATACAGACAAGTGATTGTATGACTGCTGGGATATTTTTAACTATCTTTTCCCCTTTTGGCTCCAAGGGGATGGGATTTGCAGTTCAGAATCTAAAGGAATGTAATACAAATACAATCTGCTCCCTGGAAAGAAAACTCCTCACGTTCTATGCCTTAATACCACGCTTCTGAGAGCTTTGAACCATAGGACCATTTTAAAAAGGTCACCTAAGGCAATCAAATGCTGAATGTGGGTGCAGTATCTCACAACAACATTAAAGAAACATGGTACCAAGCTTAAAAAAAAAAGGCAAATGATTCTGGTTTTTTAAAACAGAAAATTCTGAATATAAATGTTTATTTATATGGGGATTCAGGAGGAAGAGTTACAGGGCTCTGCCACCTGGATTTCCAGATGAAATTTCTCTCCATTCCCTCTGAGGGAGAATAGGATGACAGAGGAACTGTATTAACTTGGTTCCTGTAAAGATGTTAAAAACAAAGGGGTTTGTATCTTTACAAATAACTTCTTACAATTATTCATCACTTGCTCTGGACAACAGCCAAAGTATCTTGATGCCTGAGGATCCCATGGGAAGGGTGTCTCCAGGAGGCTCTGTGTGCATTTGATTGATCACAGCTTGTGTGAAGCACCATCTTTTGTTCAAATCAGCACTGTAGGTGAAGGCATGGCCACTGTCTATGTGAACTTGAGAAAATATTGGTTGATGTTCTGCACTAAAGATGTCACCTTCACCTCCTGGTGGTGGTGTGGTCCTTAGCTCGATGGAGCCTGGTCAGGAGGTCAGAGCTGACCCTCTTTCATGGCTAACAGCAAAATTCCTTTGTTACTCTTTGGAGAGGGAAGTTTAGGGCTTGCATGAGAGGCAGCAGAGGTCATACCATGGTTCATTCAAATTCTGTCAGGGTGTAGTAGACCAAGGCAAAAGACTTCTCTTTTATTTTCCATGTGGCAAAACTCACTGGAGGTCTTCAAACAGTTTTACCAAAATTGATTTGGAGGTTTGCTTTCATTGCTTGGCTCCCTCTGCCATCTCTCCTGCCTTGAGGACCATGTGGGTTGGCCAGTAGGAGGAGGCCTTTACTCACACTGTATTTCAGGCTCCTCATGTAGTACAAGGATGTCTTTCAAGGAAGGCAGATTTGACTTGTGACTTTTTATGATTAGCAAAGAAATCCACCCCTGCCTGTAGCCTCCAGCAAACCCCTTTGGCTTTACACCCTTTGCAGTCCCATTGGCTAACATGTCTTCTGGCAGCACAGCAGAGATTTTTAATTTAGCAAATGTTACTTTGGTAATGGCAAGAGAGACTTAAGAGGGGTGGGCTGTGCCTCTGTCCAGTCTGACAAGGCAGAGAGGCAAAACCTACTGCAGAAACATTGCAAAAAGCCTTCCCCAATGTGCAGTAAATGATACTGTCAGCATATCTGTGGGGATTAGGGGCAAGGCACAGCCCTTCGGTGCCTGCTGGAATCTGGGGAGGAAGTCCACAAGGTAACAGCTGGCATCACTTGTTCCCTTCTGGGTTTCCTTTGTCTTTGCCAAATCCTATTCAATAACCAAGTCCCACCACTTGAATAAAATCCAGACATGTTTAATTCTCAAATCCATTATTTTGTGAGAAATATTGCTGAAAGAAGGAAAGAATTTCTTGGTCTCATGATTTGCGGTTACTTTCTGCGGAGAGAGGCACATAAAATATTCATGACAGATCATTTATCTCAGCTGGGCTTTCAGAATTCAGGTGTGTGCCCTTAGTGACAAGTTATTAGATGGGATTTTAGTACTTTGAAATGGTTTTGTGAAGGAGGATTGTTAGAGACCACAAAGTAATTGAAGCAGGCTGGCCTCCAGCTGTCCCTTCTCCCGCTAGGAAGGCAAGGTGTGGCGCAGCGGAAAAGCACACAGATTAGCTCTGTTTTCTGTAGCCTTTTCAAAGCCAGGAGTCAATAAAATGAACTTCTAGGTAGAAGGCACAAGTGAGAGTGCAGCACAGTCTCTGTGATGAATCATTACTTTCAGGTGACTGCTGGTTTGGGTACAGGCACACCTCTGAAACAGCCCCGAGGCTCGGGAGCGCTCCGGAAGCAAAGGAGTCCTTGGCTTTCCAGAGTGTTGGGTGAGTCAGAGCAAGATGAAAAACCAACAGAAAACTGTTCAGGATGTGGAGCTGCCAAGATTCTGTGGATTTTTCTTTGCTGATGCTTTTCTCTTGAAGAGTCTAAATAATTAAGCCGTGAACTCCAGTAAACCAGTGCAGCACTATAGAAAGACATCAGCTGAGTGACAATGTTTTCATCCACTATAAAGCTGCTGCTCTGTAGATACTTCCTGAAAGTCCATCCTCAGGTTGCATGTGTAGGTCTGCCTCCTGAGTATTTAGAACAGAATAACACTTCCTGTCTCTTCTTTTTGTGGCTCACAATGCCTGCTGATTCTAATGGGAGTTGAGGATAAGCAAATATCTTTGTTCTGTTCACCCTTTCTGCTTGAGATGTCTGGAACTTGTCAGTTCACCCTGTCAGGGTTTTTTTGCTTTATCAGTCTGCTGCATCCCTCTGCTGCTGTAGGAAGCAGTCCTGCCACTTGCAGATTTATTTTTTTTTTTGGTAGGTTTGGCTAAACATTGCCTGGTACCAGGCAAAATAACTGTTCTTGTTAAATCGTGTTGAGAGCTGTGGAAAAGTGTGGTCCTCATCCCGAACATGTGAGATGAAGACATCTTCTTTCAGGCCTCCAGATGAATTCTTTCAGCACTGATCAGTCTGGATGACAGCACCATTCTTTCTACATACCTGTCCTGATTCTCCAGGCTGCAGAGGCGTGGTGGTAGAATTAAGTCTTCAGCTAGGAAGAAAATGTTTACCTTAATGGTTATATGCAGTACTCAGATTATTTTAAATTTATAATCTGACTTGTTTTTATTGTCTAAAAAGTTGCATCTCATCTTTGATTACATTAACTAAAGAAGGTTTGAGGGGAAGTGAAGGTGGAAGCTTCACTGGATTTTCTGCTCTCTGTGTAATGAAGGTCAAGGCATATTGAATATTTAAACTGCGATTACTTAGACCTGGGAAAACTGTAAAGGCAAGTTCTTAATGTGTGAATTCACTTCCCACCATTCCCAATTGATTTTTTTTCACCTTAGGCAATGACATTGACTAATTTTACTTTGATCACAGTTAGTTTATAGCAACTTTCTTTGCCCCAGTTTGCAAGAGTTGAATGCAGTTGTTCTTTGTTCTATTCCACTGGAATTCCATGTTGTTTGTCTTGACCTTGGCTCTTATGATACAGAAAGCTTTTTAGAGAAAGATCAATTTAATCTGATTTAGTGATAACACAGCACAGTGCTGAGCACAAAATTGAAGTTCATGATTAGCTCATATATTCTTTTCAACTCTTTTTCCTTCCCATATTCCTCCCTCCCCCATACCATTAACACTGTCCCCTGTAGCATATCCAGCCATTTTTATCCACTGACAGGAGCAGCACCTTGCATTAAGCTCTGCTTGAGGACTCAAGGATGAAAATATCTGTGGAACACATGGAGCTCCAGAACAGGTTGAGAAAGATCAATTTGGTCACCCTGTATGAATTTTCATGCTGTGCTCTAGACCTGTTACTGTTGGGCAGAGCTTATTCAGGAGGGTGTTTTCAGAGACATGTTAAAGCTTTGTAGGAGGAAAGAAATAACAACTCAAGTTCTTACAGTGCTTCTGCCATCAATGTCATGGTCTAGCATCAGATTTTGGGGGAGTAAACTTTATTTTGCATGTTTGGTCTTTTGTACTGCCTTAGAGTTGTCATTCAGAGTTAATTTCCCCCTTTTTTTTTTTTTTTTTCCTTTTCAGTAGGTAAATGCCCACAATGGAATAAAGCTTGGAGCACAGAAGGCTAGGGACCCATATCTAAGCAAGTGAGAGCATCTGACCTGAACTCCCTTGCAGTGTGGTGTGGAACACTTCTCCCTGCCTGCTGGGATGTTCTGTTGGTGTTGGAGCTTTTCATCTGTGTCAGCAAGGGGCTATTTATTTGGTATCACTGGTGGGTGCTAGTGTGTAAGTGAATGTCAAAATGTAGGGTGAAAGAGAAGTGTTTCCCTGGATTTGGGGATCTTGGATTTCACCTAGTGGTAATTCTGTACCTCTCCTTAGAGAATCCACTCTCACCACACAAGGTGAAAACTTCTCAGCAATATAAGAAGAATTTCCCATGCAGCTGAATTTGTTCCTTGCTTCTGAGGAGAGCCCTGCTCTGCCTCCTCTGCATGTTACAAATAGGTACTTGAAGATTCCAGTGAGATTTTTCCAATTTGCTTCCTTCTCTTAAGGCTGAACCAGCCTGGTTGTCTTGGTCTCTTTTTGTCCATCAGGTGGAGTTGCTGCAGGAGGTCACTGTGAGTCTTGTGCTGGGGAGCCCAAAGGCAGAGACAGTGCTGCAGCCATGATCTGGGGAATGCTGCATGGGTTGGAAGAGGAATCCTTTTCCTTGGCCTGGTAGCCACACTTCTGCCAGTACAGCTCAGTACCTGTTTGGTCTCTTGCTGCATGACAAGTGTAAAGTGTAAGGAACAAATCACAGAGTGAACTGGTTTGCATTTGAGCAGATGCAACCACGTTGTCCCTTTCTTCCAAGGAACAGTCCTAGCTTGGGTCTTGTTGAGCAGGAAGCAGCACTGAAGGATCCTGATCACTTTTAAAGATACCTGTGATTAATCTTATCAAGTGATAGTTTCAATCCAATGGAATTGCCTTGAGTTTCTACCTGCTTCAAAATCTTTGAGGTTTTTTTTAAGTCCTGCTGCTAATAAGTGTTGGACTAGGGCATTAAGAATGAACCTCTAAAGGAAGAGGATTTGCTTCATAATTTTTGCCCTTGCTGCACACTGAGTTTTTGAGCTTGCAGATGTCATCCTGCAGCAAATGATCTGTCTTCTCTTGCCAGCCAGTCTCTTGGGCAGCTCCTGCTTCTGCTCCTCATCAGTTTTTCCCCTCTATTTGTAGTTATTTCTGTCAACTCCAGAGTCCTTTAATCTAACTCCTAATTTAATTCCATTGCTTGAAGGTCTGCATCTGGCAAGGATTCTTGTGTTGGGTTGCAGTTACACGAGTAAACAATCTGTTGTAGAACTTTCTGTGTCCTTCTGGGTGAAAAATGATGCCCAAGCTGCTGCTACTATAGCATACACTACTGCTGGAAAGTGTAGCTTCCACAGGAGCCAGCTGTGCTGCAGAAAACACAGTTACACTACAAGGTCATCTGCACTGCTGGAGCTGATGCCTTCCTGCATCTCGATCTGCACCTGATCAAAACGTGGCTGGGGAATCTCTCAGGGCTGCCAGGCAGCTCTTGGGCTGGGATTTGTTAGATCAGCACCTCTCTCTGCTGGGTGGGTTGTTTGCAGGTGTTTGTGCATACAGGTGTGGGTGTATTCCCTGCCATAACAGTGGGAATTCTGTAGCTGTGAGGGTGGCCTTTCTCTCTTAGGGTGTCTTTCATGGGGCAATAATACACCAGGGAGCATTTTACTTTGGCTTGAGCAAGACATTTTGAAAAATACTTGGTTTTCTTGGAGCACTATATTTAAATTCCAAATTTTGAATCAATTTGTGACGTTTGTATTTATATGTTTGGAAAATTCTTTTGATACCTTTTCAATTTACCAACACTGAATTAAAACCTTTCAGAATGTATGGTTGGTCCTCTCCTTATGTGTCACTTTAAGTTTCAGAGCACAAGGGTAGTTGTGCCAAATCTACTCCTTTGCTCTCAAGACAGAAAAAAAACGTTGACAATTCATGGGTGGCAGCTAAGGAAGAAACCCTTTAAATATTTTTTTTCAGAGAATATTAAATTAGATCTGTGTAAACATAAAATTTATATTTATTAATGTGTGAGTGTGTGAGCGTGTGTGTCGATATAGATATATAAATGGTCCATGACTATTTCTTTCTCTTGAATGGTACTTACACAGACTTTTATACAGTGTGCTGGTAATTCCTGCACCAGGCACTGTCTCTGAAAGAACGATGAACCTATTTTTGTAACGAATGTGAGCAGCCAGTGGAAGCAGCTTTACTTCAGTGATTGCTTTCATTCCTCTCGCAGAGCAGAAGAGGCAACTTGGTACTTGCATCTTCCTTGTAGGATCCCTGCTTCTGGCTTTGTCCTGCTTGCAGCAGCCCCAGTCCACGCTGCTTTTCTGGCAAGAAAAACCCCCCAAATGGCACTAATGAAAGCTGGAATCCTTTCTTGTCTGCAGTTCTCTCTAGATGCAGTAGCAGGGAGTTCTTTACAGGTTCTGCTCTGTAAGTAATGGGACCTTATTTCTAACAGAGGAGATTTATGGGGGGTCCACAAGGATGCTGTAAGGCTGAGGAATTCCTCTCTGTCAGGTGGCTAAGCTAACACTGGGGCACTAGGAAATAGTTTCTTTTCTTCTGTGGTGAGATTATTTTCCTTTTGTCATGCTTCTGTCTCTTTTTGGGGTAAGGTGTGTCTATATCCCCTTAAAAACAAGCACAGAGTTTTTCTAATGTTTCCACTCACAGGGAGTAAATTTTGCTGAACTGGCCAAAGTTCAGGTGTGATTTAATTCCACAGGGATCACTAAATTCACAAAAGGGTGTATTTTGAACCACGTGGATCTCTTGAGAATAAAAGCAAGTGATACTTGACTTCCTAATTGCTCTTCCAGAAGCAGAAATTCTCTCTGAGGATCTGAGTGAAAGCTTCAGCTCAGCAATCCCTGCCTGGTGATGGGGCTGCAGTACTTCAGGGAGGACAGGGCTGGTGATGGGAAGAGAGACCAGAATAGGAGCAGTGAAAGGAAGCAGCTTTCCTCCTCATCCAGCAGAAAACAGCCCCTGTGAAACCCAGACTTCCCCTAACATTTGGTTGTTGCCTTGTGTCTGCTGCCAAGTTCTGCTGTGATCTGGACCTCTCTGTCCTGCTCCTACCCCACCTCAGTTTCACTTAAAGCAGTCTGAGACAGAGCCTTCCTTAAAGCTAAGGGCAACAGTGAGGAGAAATGTCTGGTAGCTGAAGAAAAATGAGATTTAAATGGAGCAGAAAAAGTGAGAATTCCTTCTGTTTCACTGTCTTGCTGCTAAAAGTCTGCTGCAGAACATCCTGATGTTCTGCTGATTTATATGCTGCTCTTGGGAGGTGGGCAGGCTGCTAAGTTGGCTCTGTAGCAGTTGAATTACTGTAAACCTAAACTTGCTTAATCTCTCTTTTTTTTTTCTCCCTCAAATGGGCTTGAAGTAGAGGGAACCAGAGTATTGTTTGTAAGATCTTTTTGCTTTAATAGAAAACAGAATGTAAAAAGAAAAAAAAAAAAGCAAAACCAAACTCATTCAAATATAGTGATACAGAAAATGGCTTTAAAATATGAAATTCTTACAAGACCATATGTTGTGTTGGGTTCTGACATGCTGTTTGTGCTGAGGGGCTGGCCTTGCCCAGCCTGCCAGCCAACCTCCACGTAGCCAAAAAGAGCATTTTAAGAGTCTGTAGCTATCCAAAGGACTGTTATCCAAAGGACTGTTAAAAGCTGTTTAGGGATAAATCAAAAGCTGTGTGTGAGCAACGGATGGTAAAGCTGGAAATTCAGATCCAACTCTGAATAATTGTTCTAATTTAAAAAAAAAAATCAGAAAAATCCAACTCTCCCCCTGTTGTGCAGATGCTCATTCCCACCGAGTCCCTGGGGAAGGCTGAGAGGAGAACCTGAAATACCTCAATGGCTTCACAGAAGGGTTTGCTACAGAGATCTGAGCCAGCCTCACCCCCTTCACCTCAGTTTGGCACTTATTTTATAAAATAAGAAGGTGATGGAAAGGGGAAACTAAAGCCATGCTTGCATTTCAGTTCCTGGTGTTGCCTGTGCAAGACACCTCCAGCCAGATGTTTTGGGGTTTGTGGGTTGGTTTTTTGTTTTTTTTTACAGCTGATATCAGAAGTTGTTTTTTGGGTTTTTTTGTGACTTGTTTTGTTATCAGTGCTTTTTAAAAAGCAGGTGTGTATCCCAAGGGGGAGGCTCCACGGGGGGCAGTGGATGTGAAGTTCATGTTCTTTCCCTGGCCAGCTGCTCCTGTGAGATGCTCGAGGCAGCCCTGGCTCCCAGCAGGGTGTGGGATCCTGCATCCCACAGCAGGACCTGTGTTTCCACTTGAGATGGGATACAGTGGTTTTGTTTGTTTGTTTTTTTTAATATAGAGCCATACATTTTTTAAGTAATTTGAGATCTGAATGTGATTTCTAATGTATCGAGAACGTTAATATTTTAAAGCTATAACAAAGGTTTAAATTTCTACTTTTTTTTTTTTTTCATTTATTTTAACTGTTCTGTTACCTTAATTTGATGTATGTGGTTGGGGAATGTTGCTTCTCCTCTTAGCATTTGTTTCTATAACCAGAAATAAAATTATATATGAAAGAGAAAATGCCCTGAAATTGCTTTGCTGTTTTTGGGTGCCAGATTTGGATCCTTCCAGTGTAACATCACAGGGGAGTTGAGTTTCCTGCAGCAGTGTTTAATATTTTTTCCTTTTTTTTTCCTGTAGGAAGGAAGTGTGTGTGTGCACACCTTGCACTGTTTGGAGTTCAGACACCCCACTTTTGATCCCTTGTCAGTTATTTGGGCAGCTGTTGACTCGCAGCAGACTGAACATATGGACTTGTGTGTGTGAGACCTGTGATGCTTCCCCTGGGGCTTATAAAGGATTCCTCCAGCTCCAGCTTTTGTTTTGTCATGAAGTGAAACATTGTTATTTTGAAAGTTAAACTATTGCAGTGTGTTCCCCTGTAATTTATAATAATTGTTTTCATTCAAGCCTGTGAGATCAGAAAACAATACTTTATCTGTCTTGTAGTTAGATTCCTTTTCCTCCTTTTTTCTTCCTAATGCAGCTACAATTTAAGTTCTGGGTTTATTTTGACTAAACATTCTTATCTCCAGAATTAAATAGTAGTATCTTTTAAGGCCTCAATTGACATAAAGTTGTTGTAATTCATAGAACCACAGGATGGTTTGGGTTGTAAATAAAATTAAAAATCACCTAATTCCAATCCTTGCCATGGGCAGGGACACCAGCTTGCTCCAAGCTCTGTCCAGCCTGTCTGGGACCCTTCCAGGGATGGGGCAGCCACAGCTTCTCTGGGCACCCTGTGCCAGGGCCTCCCCACCCTCTCAGGGAAGAATTTTTTCCCAATATCCCATCTAACCCTGCCCTCTCAATCTAAAGCCATTCCCCCTTGTCTTGTCAGTCCATGCCCTTGTAAAAAGTTTCTTTCTTGTAGTCTGCCTTCAGTTACTACAGGGAGGGGTTTTTTTAATTGCCAAACTAATTAAAAATTAATAACACAGTACACAGTGAGCAAATGCATTGATGCAGACCCCTTTCTGGGGGATGTCTTTTTAAATTATCCTGTCTTTGGCTCCCCACGTGCTGCTGCCCTGCTGGCTGATTGCCCAGGCATGGTGCTAATGAACTTTAATGCCAGGAGAGCACAGGGCAGGGAATTACCAAAGGCAAAGTGCCAAACCCCATCCCCTGGCATCTCCTCCTTGCAGGGCAGTGCTCAGCATGGTGCTGAGAGCTCCAGCTGTGCCAGCAGTCAGGAGAGAAGGTCCTGATGGATTTTTAACTTCTGGGAGTGCTGAAGACCTGAGCAGCTGGTTTAACACCTCGTGCCTGTTTTGGAAAGCTCTGTTTTGTGAGCAGCTTGCAGGAAAGGCTGATACATTTATTGTCTTTTCCCATCACTCCCGCAGAAGCCCCAGCTCTCATCTCTGCCATGTTCTCCATCGGTCTGAGTGGCTAGGGCAGGGTGAGCTTGTCCCCAGGCTCCTGAGGTGGGGGACAATGACAGCAGCAGCTCGGACAGTCCTTTTGCAGCCCCCAGCGAGGATTTTGGTCAGGCCGCGCCCCTGCCAGCCCTTCCCGCCGGGCGGAACCTTCGTGCAGCAGCCGCCGCGTCCCCCCGGAGCCGGCGCGGCGTACCGCCCGCCCATGGGGGGCGGCTTTGGCCGCGTACCGTGGCGGGCCCGGGCGGCGGCGGGGCCGGGATGTTCACGGCGGCTGCCGAGAGCTTCCTCAGGCAGGCGAGGTGGGACAGGGGACAAGGACAGCGCCACGGACCCCTCGGGCCGGGCGGGGGTGCTGGCGGGGCCCGGGGCGGAGCGGGGGGCCGGGCGGAGGGCAGGGCGGTGTGCGCCGAGCCTCCAGGCCGGAGCTCCCCACAGGGCCCGCGCTCCTGACAGCCCCGGCTGCCCCGGCAGGGAGATCCAGGAGGACGAGCTGCGGAGATTCGCCGCCCGCGTGTCCGCGCTGCTGCAGGGCCCCGAGGCGAGCGCCGAGGCCGTGGATGGGCTGCAGAGGCTGCACCTCACGGTGGCCGCCACCAAGTACCCCCGCAAGTGAGTGCCGCTGTGCGTCCCGGGTGTTGGAAGATGCAAGGCGTCTGACCAAAAAGAAAGGAAAAGCGTGGGGTTAGGGCTTTAAAATGACACGCTGCCTTGAAAACCCTAAGTTCGGTTTGAACGCAAAGCCCCTCTTTGCTTTTCACCCCCTTGCTGAGCAGAAGTGCCCACCTGCTCTTGCAGCAAGATTGACAAGTGTTGGTGTCGCTGAGCCCTCTGTGGAAGTGCACTCAGAAATGGAGGTGATGAGTGGCATTGAGTCACTGCAAGGGGGATCATCCCAAAGCCAAAAATATGCAGGAAATAAACATCTGGATCTTTTCTTGCCTTGCAGTGATGTGTACTGTGACTCTTGCAGGCTCAATGGCAAGTTTGTGGAGCTGTTGCAGACAGTGCTGTGCTCACCCAAAAGTCCTGAGCAGATTCAGGTGTTATGTGCTGCCATCCTGAGAGAGATGTCACCTTGCAATGATCTTATCCTCTCCTGTGATGAGATTCAAGATACAAAGCTCTTGAGCCTGGTATCCTCCATCCTTCTGGCTCAGGTAAATGACCTGTCAAGTCAGAGATCTTCTCTTGTCAATATGGATTTGCTTTTTGATTGTCCCCTGCTCCTGAGCTCCTCCCTGAGCTCAAGGAGAGTGACAATCAATTGCAAGTATGTAGGATGAAGCAGAGGTATTTCAATGTTCATTTAAAGGATCTCATTCTTCTGCTTTGCATAGGGAAAAAATGGCAAATTTTTGTGTATAGCACTTAACAACAAAAAATGCTTAAAATTGTAATGTTTAGACACTGAGGTCCAGGAAGCAAAAAAGAACCCTTTAGAGCTGGCTGCTGGAATAGATTTCAAATCAGGGTTGCTTGCACCTGGGGAGGAAAGCAAAAGATTTTAGATACTCTTCTTATTTTTCTTATGTTATTGTCTTTCATGCTCACATATAAAAATCATACACAGAACCTACAAGACATGTAAAACTGTAAATGCAAATGACATTTCAAAGGTCCAGATTCTGCATGGAGGGAAGCAAACATGAGGATCTCCCTGTTTTGAGTGCTGCCTGGGGAACAAGCTGCAGACTTCTCTTTTTCCTCTCCTTTTACTTGTATTGTGCCTGTTAAAGGTAAAATGTTTTTGTGAAACTTCTTGTTCTGGGTTTCACTGTGTGCTTAGAAATGTCTCCAATTTTTGTGACATTCATCTGAGTCTACTTAACTAAAGGAAATGGAACAGAAAACAGCAGTGTTTACTTTTGTGCTGCCTCACAAAGCTCCTCTCTCCAATATCCAGCCTCCTACTTAACTAAAGGAAATGAAATAGAAATCAGCAGTGTGTTACTTTTGTGCTGCCTCACAAAGCTCCTCTCTCCAATATCCAGCCTTGAGACTGTCCTGCAGTTCCACAGTGTAAAAACACCTAAAGCAACCCCACAGTTTGGGATCTGTGATTTCAAATGGCAGAAAATCTCTGTAAATTTGGTAAAATCCCCTGTGCTGTGAGTTCTTTTTGTGTTTGACTTTGGTATTGATGCCTGATGGAGGAGATTGGTCTCTAGCAATGGTAGATTGTTTATCTTTATCTCTGCTTTATTTTTCAGGGAAATAAGGGTGAGGTGGCAGCTGTGGGGCAGCGTGTTGTGCAGGTCCTTGAAAGAAGACTGCCTGAGGGTCAGAGTGCTCGGTTCCTTCTTCCTGTCCTGGCAAATGTCATCAGCCTTTCCCCAGAATCCCTAACAGAAGGTAAATCTGTAGGAAGGGCTGAGATTGCCACCTGGCTGTGGTCTGGGTAGTGATCAGGAGGCTCTCAGTTGGAAACTGCTGTCAAAAATGACATCTCTGCTATGAGGAAAGGGAACTCACTGGGTGAGATGTATTCCAGCACACAGAACTGGGACTGGGCCTTCAGTCAAATCCTGGCCATGGATTTGTGTAACAGGAGCATGTGCTCTAGCTGAGGTCTCCAGATGCAGCAGGAGTGTGAAACTGTAGCTATCCTGAAGAGCATCAAGCCAGGAGAGAGAAACAGAGATGTGCCTGTGCATGTGGTCAAGAGAGCAGCAGGAACAGCTAGAGCTGCTCTTCTCAGAGAGGCAGCACTGGGTGGGTATTGGTGGGTTAACCTGGGAGAGCATTCCAGGCTTAAAATGCTGGGGAATTGTGAGCAGGAGTTTCTGGGAGTTTCCTGTGGGGTTCAAATGTGTACTTTGTGCAGTGTGC